CCCAACTACTGAACCATCTCTCCAGTCCCCGTGTGTGTGTGTGTGTGTGTGTGTGTGTGTGTGTGTCCATGAGATCCAGGCATTTGGGCCTGTGTCACCGATGGTATTTTTTGATATGGGTAGGTGATCTCATCTTTTTTGAACAGTTGTTTGTATTTTTGTTTCCTGTTTCCCCAGCTTGTCAGGTTATGACTAGCTGAGCTGCTTGGTGTCTACCTTTTGGTGCCACTGTATGTTAATGTGAAAATGGGGTGTAAGTGGTCTCAGTTATGCTAACGCTGAGGTTTCAGGAAAGACACAGTCCTCAAGCTGCAGGATTCTCTGGGTGTCTGATAGGTGAGCAGGTTGGCCGATAGGTCAGCTTGGGAGAGTTCACAAGTCTGGGGTAAGCAAGAATCCTAGGACCCAAACAGACTTGAAAAATGAGATAGCGGGGCATGGGGAAGTCATAAGAAATTTTTTTAATGCAAAAATATTTCCTAGTAGAAATCTTTACCTTTTGATAAGGACATGTTTTATCTATTTTGGAAATATGGTTTTCTAGGGCTGGAGAGATTGCAGCACCCACAGAGGGTTAAGAGCTCTGACTGCTCTCCCAAAAGACCAAGGTTCAGTTCCCAACACCCACATGGTAGCTGACAACTGTTCATAACTCCAGTTTCAGGGGATCTGATGCCCTCTTCTGATCTCTGTAGGTATTGCATGAATGAGCAAACATATATGCAGGCAAAACACTCACTTGCATGTGAGGAGAGAGTGATGACTCATTTACATAGAAATAAAAATGATATATCAGTAAATAATTCTTACAAATAAAGAAATATGATTTTCTTTACAGTCTCAGGGAAAAGACTGTATATCTTCCTCTAACAGAACATTTTAGCACCTTTAGTCTGCTGTTCTCCAAACCGCTATTTCTGTGTCCTACCTTTTATCAATATTCTAATTACTAAGATGTGTTTGTTCTGGATGTTTGTTTTGGATCTGCTGCTAAATAGCTGTGCTTTCCTCTTAACCTGTCAAGATTCTGTTCTTCTTCACTGTACACTAGAGGCTTTGACTACATAATTTTTTTTAAAAAAAAATTTTTAACCTTTTTCATTGTAAGCTAAAATAAGCACAGAAAAACCACATTTAAATATATGTAGCTTTTGCCTGGCACAGTGGCTCACAACCTGTAGTATCAGCATTTCCAAGAGATTTCCAGGGGTTTTGAAGCCAGTCTGGGTTGTATAGTAAATTACAGGCCAGCCTAGACTACAGAGCTAGATGCTATCTCAAAAAAAAAAAAATAGTTTTTTATAATTAACTTTCATAAGAAAGAAATCAAGAGAAACATCCCATTTACATCGTCTACAAAAGTATACTTAGGAATAAATTTAGCAAAGGAAATGAATTCTCTTTATATTTAAAACTATAAAATATTAATTAATTAAATTTAAAACATAAAGGGAGAAATATACAGTCTGTCTTCACTGATTAGAATAACCAATATTAAGATGTCTGTCGTACCTAAAGCACCCTATAAATTAAAAAAAAATACCTTGTCAGTTTTCATGGGAACAGAAAAAAGAACCCTATAATTCACATAGAACCATAAAGAAATGTGAATAGTCAAAGAAATTATGAGTAAAATGAGTAAAGCTGGAAGCACCACAGTAACTGACAAAAATAGCATGATACCAGATGCATACATATATGTGTATATACATATATGTGTAGATATAGATATATAAACAAAATGGGAAGCATAGAAATAAAATATTACATGTGAAGCCAATTGTGAATAAAGGGGGCAAAACTCCACAATCAGAAAATAAAATCTATTCAACTCACTTTTGGGAAGACTAAACATCCAAATTCAATAAACTGAAATTGAACCTCCAATAGGTTAAAAACTCAGAAATGGAGAATTATTAATAGAACAGTAATATATATCAAAATAAAACTCTAGTAACTATACTAATGCAAGACAATAGGCAGAATAAAAGGTATGCTGCAAAATTATAAAGTCAATTTTCTACGAAGGCATTGCAACCCTGAATGTGTGTGCATCTAACAACAGATTATTAACACATATGAGGCAAAACTGACTGAACTAAGAGAACAAATATCCAAACACATCATTACAGTTAGAGACTTTAATACCATTCTCAGCAAGTACTAGGTCAAGCAGATGGAAAATTAGTAACAATACAGACCTCCTGAATTATCAGTCCTCAACAATCAACTTTCTCTAATTGATATTTATCTAATATTTCATACAATAATATCAGAATACACATCCTTCCAAAACTTGGCATACTCATTAATGTGAACTATATTTCGAGCCATAAATCACACATTAACAAATGAAAAATAATAGGAAGCATGCATAGTATGGCTTCAAAGTACAGTGGAATTAAACCACAAATTTGTGACAAAATGACATCTCGAAAAATCCCCCAAATTTAAAAAGTGAAGACCATCCATTTGAATAACCCATTAATCATAGACGATATCTCGAGTATTTTAAATAATTTTATAATAAATTATCTAAGAGAGAAGGTCAATTTTAAAAGTAAATTACTTTCTTATACACCATCAATGAACAATTTGAACTTAAAATTTTGAAAGAATGTTATTTACTGCAGCATGAGAAAAATAAAATAAATATTTTTCCACAAATCAAATCAAATATATGAAAGTAAAAAATTGTAATATCCTGATAAAAAGGAATTAATCAAAATAAATAAAGAAATATTCCATGTTTGTGGCATGGAAGTCTTAACATTGTCAAGAAGCCAGTTCTTCCCAGTTTTATCTATGAAGTCAAGATAATCCCAATCTAGATAACAGCAATCCATTTTGTACATATTGCAAACTGATTCTATAGTTTATGTAGAAAGGAAAGAGACTTAGAATAGAAACACATTCCTGAAGAAAAATAATGAGTTGGAGGACTCATGCTACCTAATTTTAAGACTCACATGTAACATGGTTCATTTTGCTATTTTATTAGATAGTCTTCACTATATAACCCAGATTGGTCTTGAACTCATGAATAGGCGGGTACCACCATCCAACTGATTACACAGTGTTAGTTAAGGAATAGTCACACAGAGCAATAGAAAAGGCAAAAGAGTACAGAAATAGACTCAAACAAATATTGTCAACTTACTTTTCTCAAAAACACATGGCAATTCCGTGAAGAAAGGAATGATGCTAGAAAAGCTTGCTGTCCATTCATGAAAAGAATAAATGACTACCGACATTTGCAAAATTAATTTAAAATGGATAATAAGAAGGCAAACTTGTGGAACTTGTAGAAGGAAACAGAAGAGAAATCTATATGACCTTTGGTTTATTGATGATTTTTAATTTTTTTTTATTTTTGTGACTATTACCATACCAAAAGTATGATCTATGAAAGACATGTTAATGAATCTAAAATATACTGTGAGAAAGGCTCTATTAATAAGATGATTTGAAATTCACAAATGGAAAATGGAA